TATATATATATATATATATGTATGTATATATACATGTATGTGTATGTATATATATGTATATGTATGTGTATGATGAACCTCATTCATTTTCATAGCTGTGTAGTGTTCCCTGGTATACACACAATCAGGGTACAGGCTTTGCACATCTATGTAAATATTTCTATAGGATAAACTCTTTGAAGTGAAATTGCAGTCCTAAGGTATATACATTTAAAATTTGGCCTCCAACAAAAGCTGTATCAATTAATAATACCCCCAATGGACCTGAAAATGTCTGTTTCTCCACTGTGTATTCTCAGTTTTGTTTTTAAGCTTTATCAGTCAACCTGATAAGTGAGAAGTGTGATCCTGTGGTTCTGATTTTTATTTCTCTGACTGCCAGTGAAATTGAGAATCTGTTCATATGTTTATTGGCCTTTTGTGTTTCTCTTACTGTAAATGACATCTTGACGCTTCTTGCCCATTTTTCTATGGGGCAATTAATCTTATTAACGTATTGATAAATTGCTTATTATATATGTTTCAGCACTGTATTTTCTTCTAAGTTCTATATATCGTTTTTTTCTCTTTTTTTGCACATCGTCCTTTTTAAACCTTTGTGAATGATATCTTCCGGCGAACTGAGGTTTTGGGTTTTTTGAAATTTTGTTTTAGAATAGATTTAGCTTTACAGAAAAGTTATGTGGATGGTATAGAGAGTTGATTCTTATTGAATCTATCTTGAAAAGAAAAGCCTTCCCCACCCCAAGATCACAAAAATAGAATGTTCTCTTTATCTCAGTACTTATATTAACTTTGTTACTATTGGTTTTTAATCCCATCTGGAATCTATTATTCAAAGATAAGAGACAGGGATCTAACTGGATTATTTTCCACCTCTGAAGAGCCAATGGGGCCAACACCCACTTTCTTTCTTTCTTCATAATCCACCTTTCCCAGCAGATTTGAGACTACCTTCAACATAGCCTAAATTTATGATGTCATTCATCTGTTAATTGAGTCAAATTGATTTCAGGGATCTGTGTCTTTTACAGGGTGTCTTTGTAACTGCAGAACCCTTACTAAGTGTTCCTTAAATGCCAGGAGTGAATATAATGGAAGAGCCTTGCCTCACTTTTTTTTTTTTTTTTTTAAGATTTTATTTATTTATCTGAGAGAGCGAGCAAAAGTGAGAGAAGCAGACTCGCCGCTGAGCAAAGAACCAGACGCAGGCCCTGATCCCAGGACCCTGGGGTCATGACCCGAGCTGAAGGCAGACGCTTAACCGACTGAGCCACCCAGGCGCCCCCTCCCCTCACTTTCAAACAGACACATCAACTAGGGTGATAATTCCTGCCACAAGCTTTGCTAAGAAAGTGGGATGGGTATTATCTATTTATTTATTTAGAAATTTTATCTTTTCTAAATAGATAAAGCATTCAAAAAGAACAAAATTCAAAAGGCACCAGGAACACCTATTTGAAAATGTGCCCCTCCCCCTACCAGCCACCTAGGCTGCCTCCATTTCTTTTTGGGACTTCTGTGCATATTCTCTCCGCCCTTCTTTTCACTTCAAGTTATGTGTTGGCAGTCATTCCAAATTGGATCAGAAAGAGCTTCTAATTCTTCCTTACAGCTTCACTGTATTCACTGCAGTCTTTAGCCGGCCGCCCCCC